TAATTCTTATTTATTTACATATCTAACACCTAAACTTTTTTATTTACATACATAACACTTAAATTTTGAATATCATGTAAAAAATATTACTATTATTAACTTTTAAAACAGAAGTACACCTATTATTAACTTTTAAAACAGAAGTACACCTTTTGCATGCATATTTTATGGCATCATAGTGTTATTGTTGAATCCTAGATTGTCCGGGGAAAAAGCCTAAGCAATAAAACGTTTTATTAGGAGGTAATTAAGAGAGAGAGAGAGAGGAACAATAGTAGATTAGCAAAAGGGTATCATTTTTATATAATATGGGCCCCTATTTATAGGTCTAGGTCTCAATACTATAAAAGTACATAGTAGCCCCCTAATCGTTAACCTTTCAGTGGGGCTTTTTGGTAATTTACAAGGTTATTTGTATATAATAAGGTCTGAGAACTATTCGATTAATAAGGGTCGTCGATAGTCTGACAGACCTTGATTCAATTGATTCATGGTCCGAAAGAGTTCCCCCTCACCCCCCCCTCCCCTATCGATTGTTCTAAAGGCTGATGATCGTCTCGAGGACTTCCTTTTATTATCTTTTGTCGATCGTTCGACTAAGTTCTTTTCTTCATCGTTGCTCATCTGAACGATTGTTTATTGCTACATTCGATCGGTTGTACTTCTTAGGTCACAATCTACTTTGAGATTAATGCGGATATATTTTCATGTGTACATATTTAGTTCCCCGATTATCTTGCTTCTCGGAAGTTGTCTAACACATGAGAACAAGGGAATTTTTTGATCACGTAAACATAAATGAATAAATAAATAAGTGATATTATTGTGCAATAATGGACTTTCCTGGATTTTTATGCCCAGGCCATTATAAATAAGCTTTGGGGCAAGGGAAGTTTGCACTGCTTCAGTGCCTTTAGAATCCTCTGTCTCATGTCTTCCTCCCTACCTGTTTTCCACGATGTTTCGTGAAGGAGTCCCACCTTCCAACAAGGGCTTACTCCTCAAGACGATGAGTGACATGCGGGCGCAGGTTCGCAAGCTTGATGTGAAGCACAAGCTTGTGGGTGGAGACGTCCTCCGAAGGACCAATTAAGAAGAGGGTTGTGTCTAAGCATGGAGCCAGTGATCGTGAGAATTGGCTCGTCTCTTCAAGTTTCCTTGCGGGCCCTCCTCAAGATAGGACTGTTGGCCAAGTGAGAGACCGTCCGGACGAACTTCCTGTGGTGTGTTCACCTGTGTGAGTGAGACTACTTGCCCAGGCGGTTGTGGGGATCGTGATTTCCCAGAGAAGTGGGGGGGGGGGTTAGCCGATATACAGACGTGGCTTCGCCAGACTAGGATACATTTCTCCTCGGAAGGTGGAAGACCGGAAAAAGCGGGTGAGGATCTCTTTTCTTATTCCACATGTGAGTGGGGGCAGATTCTTTGTATGTAGTTTGATTAGCTTTTTGTTCATTTCTTTTCAACGACCGAGGTCTTGACCGTCGATTCTTTATCAGCAGATACTGACGCTGGCCTCGAAGATGATGCGACGGCGGTGGACCAAGTTGCGATCCAGGGAGCGAGCGTGGCATAGGTCATCGCGAGAGGAGTCATGGCGGGACTCAACACATTAGAGCAAGGTGCCAATCAAGATGCCACGGTCCGGAGGCTAGAGCGTAGGAGGGCAGCCATCAGGTCCTCCCCCCGGAGCTGCGAGGGATGAGGAGGCGACCGTAGGGCGCTGTGTATCCTCGGACTTAATACTTCGTCGCCTTGCCGAGATGGAGGAACGCTTCCTCCGCTTCATGGGGTACCCCCAAGGAGATGGTGCCAAAAGGGTCGTCGAGGTCCTCGAGATGGTCGAGCAAGTGGAGAGAGTAATTGCGAGGTTGTGCGAAGAGCTCACGACCTTCTAGGGGGAGATGCTTGGTAGCAGGGGGAGATTACCTGCTTATGCTCGGAGCTATCAGCCGTTAGAGAGGCCATCACCGCTTAGCCCAGGGATAATCGGAATGATCTTTTTAGGCTGGGCAGTGAGTTCATGTTACAAGCCAACATCGGGAGGAGGGGTAGGCCAACATCAGGAGGAGGGGCAAGCCAACATTGGAATATTACAAGTCTAAGCATTGTGAGGGCTAAGCTAATTTAGTGCCAAAGGAGAGCGCTTAAACCTCTTGGGTGGCTTGAGATTAGGGCTGTCAAAACGACTCGTTAAGAAGCTCGTGTTCGGCTCGTTCACTAAGTTAACGAGCCGAAAACGAACAAAGATTTGTTCGGTCATGTTCAGCTCGTTTTGGCTTGAAATACTAATCGTTCATGTTCAACTCGAATGCCCAAGGCTAGAGCAGTTTCACTTTCTATGTCTTTGTTTCTCTTTCTTCTCTTTTCATTTATTTATTATTAATTTTTTTATTTTGTTGTAAAGGGGATCTCTATTTGTAACCCGCAAATGAGTTGTCAAATATACAAAAAAAAAAATCTTTGAGGTCGGAGGTTTTGTTATCCCGGCATTTTTCTCCCTTAACTGTTAATTGTTGGAAATACTCAAGTATTTTCTGTGTTATGAGTTGTTGGTGAGTGCACATGTATTTTGCATAAATGGTTGTCGTTGGTTCCTTGCAGAGCTTGTCATTGGTGAGTGTAAATGTCATAATTAAAGCGCAAGACGATCGTTTGTGCACCTCTCACGGAGCTTGTCACTGTCTGGTGCGGATACAATAATTAGGCACTCATCGCGGAGCTTATCATTATTGGGTGTTAACGTTTAGAAATAGGGCGCAGGATGATCGTTTGCACACCATTTGTGGAGTTTGTTGTTATCGAGTATCGGTGTGTCCTACAAGCCACTGTGATGATGCTCTTTTTAAAGTTAGGTGCATGACGTTCGTTCGCAGACCCCTCACGGAGCTTGTCGTTGTCGGGTGTCGATACGTCCCATAGGCCACATGTAGTAGTTGGGCACCCCTTGCGGAGCTTATTGCTGCCGACTGCTAACATTTAGAATAGAACGTAGGACGGTCGTTTGTACGCTCCTTGCGGAGCTTGTCGCTGTCGGGTGCCGGTACGTCTCATAGACCACTTGATAATGATCTCCTTTAAAGTTGGGCGCAGGACGGTCGCTCGCACACCCTTGTGGAGCTTGTTGTTGTCGGATGTCGGTACGTCCCATAGACCACTCGATGAAGATTGTTTTTCGAGCGTACCTGAGCAGTTTCTCTAGTGTGCTCACGTCAGTTGCTCGAGTGCATTCACGACAGTTCCCTGAGCGTAAAATACAATAGGAAAAAGTACTGTTATTGATTTCGAATATGTGTAATCTTGGACTTTTAGATAAAATGTAAAAAAAAACTATCTTTGTTTCATTGACCTTTTTTAAAGATAAAAAATGATATACAGAAAATTGTGATATTTTTAGGAAGAATTTTCTTAGGTCGTCGCCACTTCAGGTTCCAGGGACGTCATTCCCTGCGTGTCTTTAGTTTGTAAGCTCCAGGTGTCATTCTATGATGGATGATGTAGGGATCGTTCCAGGTTTGATCCAATTTCCCGATAGCTTTCCCTCTGGCGGCTAGGTCGATTTTTTTCAGCATTAGGTCCCCTTGAGCAAGCTTCTCTTCCCGCACGTGCTTGTTGAAGTACCTAGCGGTCCTTCTATTAACCTCTTCTTGCTGGAGAGCTGTGTTTGTTCTGTTCTCTGCTGCCAGATCTAGAGCCAGTTTGACTCCCTTGTCGTTTGACTCGAGCCACTCTCCTAGGTCTTTTCATCGAAAGTTGAAGCGGAGAGCATCCTTTGGTTGTGGTTGTTGTATTTGACCGGCAACATGACCTCTGTTTCGTTGGATAGCATAAATGAGGTTTGTTTGGTGGACGTCGACGACATCGTTCGGATTTCCCAAAGTATTTAAGGGATCAAGCTTGCCCATTTGCCTTTTGTTCCTTCCACCTTTTTTCCTAAGCAAATTTAAAATAATTTTATTTGCGGTCTCCGCTTGGCCATTTGTTCAAGGGTGGTGAACAGAAGTAAACTTGAGGTTGATCCCCTTGCTTGTTGAATTAGTTCTCATTATCCGTGACTATGATAAGAGGTAGTCTGTATCGAGAAATGAAATCAATTCAGATAGAGTTTCAGACTATATGTGCGCCAGGGGCTTCACTTCTACCCACTTGGAGAAGTAGTCGATGGCCACCAGTAGAAACTTCCTCTACCTTTTGGACGAAGGAAAATGTTCTAGAATATCGAGGCCCTAGATAGTGAACGACCATGGACTGACAATCATATGGAGTTTATGCGACTGCTGATGGCGCAGTGACCCGTACTTTTGGCATTGTGTTCACCTTCGGGAGTGTCCTGCTTCCTTGAGTAAACTTGGCCAGAAATAGCCTTGTAGCTGGATTCTGTGGGCTAGTGTTTTTCCTCCAGAGTGGCTGCCGCATTCTCCGATATGGACTTCTCTAAGTTTGTCCTTAGCTTAATCCTCCCCAACGCATTTCAAGTATAAGGATGTGGTCGTCCTCTTTAAGAGCTTCCCTTTGATTAACAATTATTGAGTAGGCGACTTCTTCAATCTCTCGTGTTCTGGTATCGGACATACGAGCTCATCTAGCTGTTCTTCTCCTCTTCATGTATTTCCATTGCCATTGGTTCTTCGATAGATGATCGATCGAGTCATTTTGGTACCCCTTCTCCTAGATGGAGGCTTTGGGATAAGAGATCGGCGACTTGATTTTCCTCCCTTCAGACATTTTCGATCTTGTATCTAGCAAAATGACCGATCTTTGTCTTCACCTTCCCGAGATATCTCCCCATAGTTCCGTCTTTGGCTTCAAATTTCCCATTAATCTGGTTTACAATCAGAAGTGAATCAGCCTCACCGTTATGTGGAGCACTCCAATCTCCGAGGCTAGGAGAAGTCCTGCAATCAAAGCTTCATATTCTATTTGGTTGTTAGTCAATGAGAATTTTACCTCAATTGAGTGATAGACGTTTTCCCCTGCGGGATTGCATAGAAAAACTTCGAGTGCAGCGTTCGACTGGTCAGATGATCCATCGGTAAACAGTGGTCGGGTTAATTTGTCGGTCGCCAGATCTTCGTTTGGCCCTCCTAGTTCTGAGAAATTTGCCACCACTTGCGCCTTTATTGTCGTATGGGGGATGTACGAGATGTTAAATTCGCTTAGTTCCACGACCAACTTGAGTAACCGACCAGAATGCTCTGGCATGTTAAAAAAGACTTTAACGGTTGGTCTGTGATAACTTATATGGGATGTACTTGAAAATACGGGCGAAGCCTCTTTGCTGAAGTGACGAAGGTGAATGTCAGTTTCTCCATGATGGGATACCGGAGTTCAGCGCCCTTGAGAACTCGACTGGTATAGGAGACTGAATGTTGCTTCCCAAGTTCTTCTCAGACCAAGACCGAGCTGACGGCCTCTGGACCGAACCCGAGGTAAAGATGGAGTTTCTCTTTTGGCTTTGGGCTTTGAAGTAGGGGAGGGGAGGTGAGTAACTGCGTGAGATTTTGAAAGGCCTCTTCGCATTCTGGCATCCACTCGAAGCATTTAGCTCTCCTAAGTAATTTAAAGAATGGAGCACATATCACCTGACTTGGAGATGAATCTGCGATTCGATCTGACCGGTAAGATTTTGGATTTCTTTGGTGCTCTTTGGGGGGTGGGGGGGGGGGAATTTAAAGAATGGAGCACATTTATCACCTGACTTGGAGATGAATCTGCTCTGCGATCTGACTAGTAAGATTTTGGATGCGGGGATTTCATGTCTACGAGTATCCGGATCTTCCCTGTGTTGGCCTTTATGCCTTCAGGGGTTGGCAAGTTTCCCAAAAATTTACCGGTAGTGGCTTCGAATGTGCATTTTAGCGGGTTTGATTTCATGTTAAATTTTTTAAGTGTTTGGAAGGTTTCTTTTTTTAAGTCTTCGATGTGTTGTTCCGCTGACCGACTCTTAACTAGTACATCATCGAAATACACCTCAATGTTTCTTTCTTTTTAATTTGCAAATATTACATCCATGAGGCGTTGGTAAGTTGCCCCGACATTTTTTAGCCCAAAAGGCATTACATTGTAACTAGTGACAAAGGGTGCATCTTAATCTAGTGATATCCAAAGAATGCATCAAGGAAGCTCAGGATTGAGTGGCCAATAGCTGAATCTATTAGGGCGTCAATTTTCGGTAGGGCGTAAGTCATTCAGACAAGCGGAGTTCAGGTTGGTGAAATCTTGCGTACATCCTCCACTTTCCGTTAGCTTTTTTGACCATGACCACGTTGAAGCCCCGGGTGGAGTATTACACTTTTTGAATGTTCCTGACCTCTTTCAGCTTTTACACCTCTTATCGGAAGGCCCTGTTAGTGTCATGGAGGAGCTCTCGATCTGTTTCATGGATCGAGCCGATGGATCAACATTCAACCTATGGTACACAACATCGATCGACACTCCTGGCATCTCGACTGTCGTCAACGCAAAAAAATTCTTGGTTCTTCTGAAGGGTTCGGACTAGTAGATCCCCGTGATCTGCATCAAAAGCCTCACTGATCAATAACATCTACCTGATCTCCCTCGATCGTCGGGACTTCACGAGTGGCTTCGCTGGTTTCGAGGCCACCCTCCCTCGCTTTCTGGATATCCAGGGGGTCATGTTCCACGTTGCTTATGACCCTTAAATAGTAGATCGAGACTGCTCTAGGTCGTCCCTAACTGTGATGATTTCTCCGTATCCAGGAAACTTCACAGCGACATGGTAAGTGGAGACTACCACTCCAGGTCGGTCAAAGATGGCATTGTAGGTTGGGGGCGAATCCACCACAAGAAAATCTTCAATACGGGTGAATTGTTTCTCATTCTCCTCCCAACTTGTCGGGAGTCCAATCATTTCCAGTGCCTCCTTTCTCTTGCCGTAGAATCCGTAAAGCGGATCAGCTAGTGCGGTCGTTCAATTGGCAGTGAGGCTCAACTTATCGAACACGTGTTTAATCAATACATTCATTTAATTACCGGTGTCAATTAAAATACTCCCTACTTGATAATTGTTTATTATAGCAGTTATTACAATAGCATCATTATATGGATTTCCCTTTTGGGGAAGATCCTCATAAATAAAAAAGATAAGTGAATGGTTCTTGGGCTTCAAAGCGAAGGTGATGATGCAGAGCTCCCCTGTTTGCTACTTTTTTTCGGTTCGCCTTCCTGGGTGGCTCGCTTTCTTGGAAGATTTAAGACACTTACCCTACAATGTGAATGGCGTTAGTGCGAACGGGGCCATCGGTCGCTCCTCCCACTGGAGCCTTACCCTGTCTTTCGGTCGCAACTCCAAAAGCGACGAATTCTTTCAACTTTCTTTCCTTGATCAATTCTTCGATCAGGCTTCGCGGATGTCTACATTCCTTTGTGTGATGCCTGTGGTCTCTGTAGTACTTGCAGTACTTCCTGCTATCCCGAAGGAAAGCTTCGACCCTCATCGACGTAGTCTTTCTGAAGAAATCTTTATCTTGGATGACGTCCACTATCTCTGCCATGGATACTCGAAGCGGCGCCTTGCAAGGGGCCTCGTGGTTATACCGGGTTGCTCGCGATGGTACGGCGATCGGTGGTTCTAGGCTTTAATCGAACGCCTTCAGTCTTCTTGGCGTTGGGTGGAGTGGTTATCGGGGCGATTTGATGGTCGTGTGCTTTGTCTCGGTTGTACTTAGATATTCCGTGGAGGTCTTTTATGATGTCTTTGCTCGACGGGCTCATGAGTGTTCTCGTAAGCCACGATTTATCTGTTAGTCATCTCCAACAGTGTAGCCAAGCTCTGTGGTTATGCAAGTTTGAGGTCGAAACGGAACCTCTCAGACCTTACTCCTTGTATCAGCGCGGCCTGAGCCATGTCGGGCTTCAGGTCCTTGACAGCTAACGTCTTGCTCTGGAAACTCGCGATAGAAGTTCGTAGGCTCTCATTTTCCTCTTGCTTAAACTACCACAGGGATCGAGCGTTCTTCTTGGGCAGAGTACTGCTGAACTGCGATAAGAAAAAGTTCATGAACTCTGCGAAACAGGTGATTACCCTCGCGTGCAATCCCTCGAACCATCTTAGGGCAGTTGATCTTAGCGTCGTAAAGAACAACTTGCACTTGAGGGCATCCGAAATCTTCAACAGGTGGATAGAAGATTATAACGGCGCGAGGTGATCGTTGGGAGCCAATCGTCCTTTGTAAATTTCTAGGACCGATATTTTGAAATTCTCTGGAGGTTCAACTCCGGAGACCTATAGGGAAAAGGCGTTCTCCGGTTGTTTATGTGCCTTAGTTTGCGTCAGTCGGTTCCTTTTCCTCTACAGGGGCAGATCCGACGCTCTCGTGGTACAGTCCGTTGTCAGGCTTTTCCTACGAGTGGATTCCCCTCCTTCCATTGTTTGCCAGCAATTCTTCTTGAGGGTGCTTATGTTTTCCTTGTCGTGTTGGCTCTCCAATTGGAATTGGAGGGGCTGCTAGAGCAGCGACCTCCCTAAGGACCTCAGCGAGTTGTCCCGACATCTGGTTGGTGATGTGGGTTCTTATGTTTTGCAACCCTTGCTAAACAACATCTTCCATGAACTCTCGGGTACATGTTACTTCCCCTTCGTTCCTCTTTCTAGACTCTCCTTGTTGTTGTTGTCGGGTTTCTTTTCTTGTTGAAGTCATGTTTCCACGCTTAATGCATCTTAAAGGATGTTAAATCCGAGATTGTCTGGGAAACATGCCTAAGGAATGAAACGTTCTATTAAGAGGCAATTAAGGGAGAGAGAGTGTGTGTGAAGTAGCTGTAGTAGACAAGCAAAAGGATATTCTTTATTTATAATATGGACCCCTATTTATAGGTTTTTGTCCCAATATTATAAAAATGCATAATAGCCCCCTAATTTTTAATCCATAAGGGGGGACTTTTTGGTAATTTTCAATGTTATTTCTATTAAATAAGGCTTGGGACCTGTTAGTCGATTATTGGTTCAATCGATTCATTGTCCGAAGGAGTCCTCCCCATCAATTGTCCTGAAGGCTGATGATTGTCTAGAGAGACTTCCTTTTGTCATCTTCTGTCGATCGTTAGGCTAAATTATTTTGTCCATCGCAGCTCATCTGAAACGATCGTCTATCGCTACATCTGATCGGTTGTAATTCCTTCTTAGGTCGCCCATCTACTTTAAGATTCATGCCGGCACATTTTCATGTGTCCAGTTATAAATTTAAATATTAAACTTTAGGTGCTAGACATGTAAATACAATAGAATTGTGGGGACGTGTGCTAATTCTCCTTTTCATTTTGGTATAAAAGCTTAATGACTTTTAAGAACTTGTATTGTTTTTTCAGGGTGGCGAACACGAAGATGCAAGTCAAGTTGTCGCGCGCACATACTTGCTAAGATTGAAATCCGTAGAAGACACCACAAAATTGGCCGAAACAATTCAAGAATATGCTCCATCAGCATGAGGTTTGAATGCATGCTTTCTCCTAAATTCCTTTTCTCTCTAAATTCACTTCAATAATCTAATATTTGTAGCGTTAAATCAACTTATTTCCCCCTACTTAAAAGAAACACAATAGCGACAAGCTCTGAAAGCTTGGGAAGGAATCTTCCTTCACGGGGGAGATCTTCTCACTCCGGTACACATTTCCTCTCTCCCCATTTCTTTTTTTGTTTTTTCTTATAAATGTTACGACATTATTTGATTAGATAAATCAATAAACTTTTTTCCCAAATTATGATCTCATAGTGTTTCTTCTTATAAATGGGCAATTACATGCAAACCATTCAATTCCTATGTATTTACACATCCAACTCCTAAGCTTTACTTTGTACATTTATTCCAACCAAATCATTCACATCACATTAGAGTACACCTTTTTTTGATTTTTAAAAATGTGGAATATACTTTTACTTGCTATAGTAAACCGGTATATATAATATGTAAAAAATTGAACATTTAGTATTAGACATGTAAATAAATAGGAATTTAGAGTCTTCCTATAAAAAAAAAAAGGCAATTATCATTTTTCTTTCCTTTTTATTGTTATGTGAAATTGGATTGGAGTGTTATAAGATGGTTTATAGTTCATTGAGGTTATTTTATGGGTCACAATTTTAAGTTAATCATTTTAAGTTAATCTGCTCTTAAGATCTGCTCTTAAGAAAAAAAAAAACAGTTATTTATTTTAAGTTTAGGGGCATTTACATAAATTGCACACAAATCGTATTTATTTACAATTAAAGAAGGTTTTATCTTCTAAAATAATTCGTGGATGCTTGGAGTCTTGATAGCTCATTTTATTCATGTATACATATATTCACACTTTTATTGATTTTAATTTAGCCGAATTTTGTTCAGGAATTATAAATAAATCTTTATACAAACAAATCAAAATATTTAAATGTTAGAAACTGGTATTGCCCCAAATTAATATATATATATCAATTACATTTTAATCAAGTCTTACCCTAATTATTAGGTTATTAATTTGCTTAAATTAATGTACATATGTTTTATATTTTTTATTAGTAATTTAAGATGTGCGGTCTATAGTGGCTCTTCTTTTTTTTTAAAATGTGTTTGAATTCATGTAGCCTATTATGTAGCCCAAGTTTTGATTCACTAAAGCTCCTCTTGAACAGCCTTTTTTTTTTAAAGGATCAAAGGGAAGAAGAAGATTGAGCAAAAAAATGTGAGAAAGAGAGAGATGTAAATATGGAAAGTATAGATGTTAGATATGTAAATACATAAGAATTGTGTGTTATGTTTGTAAATTTCCCTTCGATATATTTTGCAATATGTCCGTGTTTTGAATGTTTTGCATACGGAGATATATTTCCGAATGAAGCCATAAATAATCATGTTCTGTTTTGGATTGTATGTATTTTTGATATGTACTTAGATTTATAATTGTGTCAATTCCTTATTGTGCTCAGACATTCATTGCAATCTTTGGGGATATACCACCCATTTCCTATGTATTAATATATCTAATACCTAAATTGTAATGTTTATACTTTACATTAAAAATATTATTATTTTAATTTTAAAACAATAAAATACCTCTTTTCATTTATGTATAAGATGGCTAAATATGTAAATATATTGGAGTCGAGTGTTATGAATATAAATCTTCCTGAACTTTTAATTTTAGAAAAAAAAAAAACATTTAATATTTTTATAGAATTGAATTAAATGTTTTAAGACTTCCTATAAAAATTGAACATTTTCTCGTTTGTGGTGACTGATTATATTAATTTAATATTTTCTCGTTAAAGAAAAATTATATAAAAAAAAAAGATCAATAATGATTCTGCAAAAAATAATCCAGAGTCTTTGTTGAAGTTGGTTGAAGGAGGTGTCCATCTCTTGATGCATCTTTACGTGCGGCTGAGGTTATTCTTGAGTTAATTTCAATAATTTCGAAATAATCAAGAATTAACTCACGATTTTTATTTTTAGATTATTTATGTGTTATTTCAAGAAATAACATGAAAATAACTCAGGAATAATCTTCACGACACGTAAAATTATGTCAAGAGTCTGCACAAAAAATGAACTCCCAGTCTTCAGCGCTTTAAATGAAAAAGAAAAAAATATATTATCATTATTTTTAAAATAATAATGAGAAATATGCTATCTGACAGTAAATTAAAATCGCCTGACTAAAATATTTATAAGTAATCATATCTCGTAATATTTTGTTTTTTTTTTTTTGTGTCATTATCTCCCGGCTTTAGACTGGTGGCATATCTTCTGACACTTGCATACATGCCACGCAGCGTTTATCTATTTACATATCCAACCCTTGAAATTATATATTTATATCCATACCACTATTATTTACTTTTAGATACTTTTAGAAATATTAAGAATTAAGATTTTTTTTTTTTTTTGTGTTTTGTATTTGAAAAATAGCAAAATGCCAATCAATTAAGTCTCATAAATTATAAAAATATTAAGTTGGTTCACACTTTCCTTCAATATAAACTGAAATACTTTTAGAAAAATGATTATTTTAGTCTCAATAAAAAGTGTATGAGACTAAATTAATATTTATGCATATTTAAAATTAAATTGTCACCTTCAAAGTTCAAATGGCTTGCTTTGTATGGAAAATAAATATAGATTAATTAAACATCATGAGGAAAAAAAAATCAAAAAATTAAGATTGATATTTTAATTTTATGCTAGAATAAATAAATCATATGTGGATAAATTTCAAAATAAATACCAACAAATCTTATCTATTTTTACATATCTAAATTAATGTGAGATCAATTTGAATAAAATTACTGATTACATATCACCGGGATAATGCTATAGACATGAGCAAATTCATAGCAATCAATTAAATACAGCCCAATTATTAGCCCAAAATAAATCAAAATAAGCTCAGCTGTTGCGGGCCTATCCCAATGAAAGAGGCGTCAGAATACACGGCCCACTTAACTCGTCATTGTCGGGGCGCCACGGTCACCAATCAATGGCCACAAATCCTCTCCACCATAAAATAATAATAATTAATTAAACAAATCATAGTTCGAATATAAACTTATTAGAACAATAATTTTTATTTTTATAAGGTATTATTTAAAATAAAATATTTATTAAGTACAGATTGCCCCTGATAAGATAACGTAATTAATACCTTTTTTTTTTTTTTTCCTGGAAGCCCCTGCCGTGCGAGTCGCGAGCAATATATAAATTCGGCAAGTGCACGTGACTCGGAAAAAAAATGTCGGAAAATAAATATATATATTTTCTTCTTCTGCAGGACTGATGCTCACGTGGCTTCATAAAAATAAAAGAAGGAAAAATTCAGATACGTCCGGCGCAATTTTTAAGGATTTATATATGACAGGTATATATATAATTTTTTTTTAAAATGACCATAAGTATTATATGGTACTCTTAATGTGTTTAACAATACCAGTATCACCTCATTAAAGTTCACGTCGCTAGAAGGGATTCAAACCCCCCCTACCTGTGGGGTCTAGGATTTAAAGTTCACCTCGTGTTCGAAATCGGGTTGTGAAGAGTGTAGTAGTGTTCGGCTCGAAATTGACTCATTAAAATTAAATTGAGAAAAATAAATATAAAGTGTTGGATTCGAACCTGGACCAAACGTATGCAAAATAATGCACTAACAATATTAACACACAAGGAGTTACGATTTAAACTTAAATATAAATATATATAATATATTATTATATAAATAATATATGTAATATAT